TTTGATAGGTCTTATAAGCCCTAAAATCCTAGTCTGTTTCCTCGGCGGTTTGTCGATAACTGTTTAATTCCTCTTGATCACTGAAACAGAAGTTGGGAAATTTGTCCCGTATTTTCTTATCCTTGTCCACATAAAATTGTTTTCACAAGCCCCAAAACCGAGTGACCAATCAGTAAAAATGCTCGTTACCTCAGTTAAAACAAGAAACTCAAAGAAGCGACAGGAAGCCGTTGAAATGCTGGCAAAACATCCTGCTTATAACCAATCCGTCAGCACGGAAATAATTAAAGGCTCATCATCTAAGATATAAATAAAGCCGAAGTTGCGCGAAAGAGTAGAAAAGCAATCAAATGTTAGTTCTCATAAGGTCTCTCTGATAGAGCACAGCGCAGTTACTGCAGAATCGCCCGTTAAAGCGATTGAAATGATTGCTGCGCTTGAATTACAGCTGAAGGATTTGAAGGAAAGGTTTGAATCTCTGTACCAAGTGGTAGAGCAATTTAACTCTATTAAGTATCTTTTTAATACTCCAGATACACCAATATCGAACACCTTCGATCCGTTGGGAATCTTATACAACATGTAGCATTTGAGGTGCATGATCTCATTAAACGCTCCAAAAATGTTATAGCATTTAATTTACCAGAAAAGTTATCTCTTGAGTCTATCTCCTCTGCAGTGGCAAACGACTGTCATATTGAAAGACGGCAGTTTTCTTGTGTGAGGCTGCGAAAGAAATCTCCGAAGCAGGTCTGTCCAGTACTCGTTAAATTTTCAAACGACACACTTGCTGAAAAATTCATTTGTAGTAGGAGCGCACTATCCCTTAGGAAAGATTACGTATCCATGGTCCTGAAACCAGATTTAACAGTACTACAAAGGGAGTGCAAAAAAGCCTATTTCCGACAAACAGTCTGTGACCAGTATGTTCCGCCACCCACGGAAACTCAGGAACTTCCTCACCTGGTTGACCTAGATGACACTCTGATCATAAATGAATCAGCTCTTAGGTTGAAATCAGATAGCAACTGTCATAAAAATATCGCTTCTGACTCCATTCAGTGTCACATTAGTCCAGCATTACCGCGAAACTCGTCCCCGAACATACAAGAAAGTTCCATTGCGCAAACGACTATTTCTACTCACTCTTTGTCGTTCACCAACCAGGTGCATAGACGCTCTGGTACGAAACTGAAAACCTCCTCTCCTAAAGGCTGCGAACCTTTAAAACTGCGGAACAGCCCTGTTGCAAAGAACACTGGTAGCAAAACCTCACGTGGAATCTACACGGGTGCTCCTAAACACAATAAAAACACGGCTATTTTAAACATTCCACCAAACGCTGTCACCACTGAAAACCAGCAGACAATCGGCATATCTCCAACCTTGCAGCATTTGAACATGCGACCTGTGTGCTCCATAACCTGTGAGCCACTTGTTAGGGAACTTAAAGTAGCTGAGAGAAATTGGCCCAACCAAAATCCTCTCAAACTACCTCTACATGTAAATAACCTTAACTGGCACGTAGGTTATGTGCAACAGCCAGAAAATTGTAATCTCCCAGTGGGTCGCCATTTTCCCAGTATTTCACCCTTCCAACCTTTGTTTGGGGGTCCAGTGGCGTTCTACCCGCCACACCCCCAAATGACACTAATTCCGCAAATTATATGTCCTCCGTATCCACCACCCCCACTCCACTCTCTCCAAATACCACCTCGTTGGGGTCCTGTACCTGGATTCCTGTAGACAACCCAACGGACAACAAGACACTGCACTTACTTTTAATTAATTCCCGTTCACTGTTAAATAAAATGCACTTCCTGCGTAATATCCCTCACCTTTCTTCTCCTGATATAGTACTAATTACAGAAACATGGTGTTCAGCAGAGATGTCTGACACATTGTTCAGGATACTGGGTTATAACATCTTTCGTAATGACCGTCTTTATGGTAGAGGTGGTGGCTGTATAATCTACGTCAAAGACAAATACTTGGTTCTGCCTCTGAATGAACCATTCCTCCAGAGACTTCCTGATTCGGTGTGGATTACAATTTCTATTAATCCAACAAATCTCTTAGTAGGTTGTATTTACAGACCCCCATCTTCTACATTCACCTTGACCGATGACTTGCTGGACACATTTTCTTTTATTGCTGACCTCTCATACACTGACAAAATAATCGCTGGGGATTTTAATATGCCCGAAATCCCGTGGTCCCTTAACAATAAACCACAAAAACACAATTCTTTTATGTCTACTCTTGATCGACTGGGATGGGTACAGCACGTCACAGAACCTACACGACTTGGAAACACACTTGATCTAATATTTACGATGGGATGTTCGCATGTGTCCACATACATCAGTGATAAGTTGCCGGGTAGTGATCATGACATTGTTGGTTGTTCTTTCCAAATTCTTTCTAAACCGACAGAATCAGTGATAAATTATCGCACATTCTCTTCTGTGAATTGGTCAATTTTCTCGGATCTTATAAGGTCTTCATATTGGGATCCATTCTTCGTAGCACAGAATGTACAAATTGCTTGTAATGAATTCTACCACCGAATTCAGCTTTGTGTTGAAGCTGTGGCTCCAGAACGTACTAAGAAGTTGAAAAGGACTGCTGCTCCTGCAGGCATCTCAAAAAAGGTAGCCACTAAACTTTATAAAATAAAGAAAAAATTTAGGAAAACTAATGATTTTACTCTGCTGATGCTCCACACCAGATTGCTTACAGCGTTATACCAAGACCACCACAAAATGCTATGCTCTGAGGAAGTAATGGCACTGAAGGGCGCAAATGTGGTAGGCTGCATCTCAAAACTTTTGGACCGTAGGCAGAATAGAAAATCAAGTTGTATAAACACCATTGTAAACTCTGATGGAACTGCCATAACCGACGGTGCAATCATATGTTCGATCTTCAATGACTACTTTATGTCTACTTATGGCGCTAATGCGAAAGATGATCCTCAGCTCAAGCTGATACACAGGGGGAGTAATACACTCCAAACTGTTGAATTTACACTTAGTGACATATGTCGCCAACTCAGATTAGTTCGGCCATCATGCTCACCAGGCCCTGACAACATCCCTCCCATACTGGTAAAGCACGGGGGTCCAGACATCCCCCTGTTTTTGCTTAATGTATTTACACTTTCCATGCTCAATGGGGAGTATCCTATACACTGGAAACAATCAACTATAATACCAAGGCACAAAAGCGGATCTATGCAAGATGTAAAAAATTACCGCCCAATCCACCACACATCTATTATTTCCAGAATCATGGAGAGGATATTTAAAGAACGCATAATAGAATATTTGAGTTCTATGAGCCTACTCAGTAAACATCAACACGGTTTTCTGAAAGGTAGGTCGTGCACTACCTGCCAGTTAGATTACCTTGATTATGTGACTAGAGCAAGAGACGCCGGAAGTGCTATCATCGTAATATTTCTTGATATCCAAAAGGCTTTTGACCGCGTCCCACACAATTTATTGCTGCTGAAGCTTATGTCCTATGGTATCACTAATTCGCTTCTAGACTGGTTGTCTTCCTACCTCGAGGGTAGAAAGCAAGTAGTCAAAATCGGTAACTATACATCTGAAGCCACTACAATCTCTAGTGGAGTGATTCAAGGTAGCGTGCTAGGCCCGCTTTTATTCTTAATCTTTTTCAACGATCTCCTCGACGAAATCTCGTATGGAAAGCCGTACCTTTTCGCAGATGATGTTAAAATTGTGTATTGTTCCACCCCTGGGCAACGTAGTCTTAACTTAGCCCATATTCAGTCTGACTTGTCCGCACTGGAGCTCTGGAGTAACTCCTGGAAGCTGCACTTTGCCACGGACAAGAGTAATCTATTGTACTACGGCTGTGGCCCTTCTCTAAACATCCTTACATTAAACGATACCCCTATTCCTGTGTGTGGCGCAGTCCGAGACCTTGGTCTAAGATATTCTGCCTCATTTAACTTTTTAGAGCATGTTATATTCTTGCAGGCTTCTGCCAGAAAAGTGATCGCCTATATAAGTCGAACTCTTATTTTGAGGGATTCCAGGCTTCAAGCCTTTAAAATATGTGTTAGGCCGAAACTTGAGTACTGTACGATAGTGCATAGTAATCTGAGAAAAGTGGATATTATAGCACTAGAAAACATTCAACGATCATTCACAAAAAGGTTTCTGAACATGCCTAATACTATGACATACCGTGAGCGTTGCGAGGCGCTAAATCTGGAGCCGCTATGGCTACGAAGACCCAAACTTAATCTGTGCCTTTTATACCGCTTACTATTCGGATTGACCTTCACTGCTTAGCCACAACTCGAGTTTCAGACTCGTATGCGCTATGAACTAAGAAACAGCGAGCGCACAGTGAAAATACCAAAGTCTCGCACAATGCTCCGCTCAAAATTTTTCTCTGTAAAATACGCGTTAATATGGAACAAACTTCCATCGAGTGTTAGAAACTGTGCTACCTATCCACAATTCAGACGCATGATTAATATTCACCTGACTGTTGCAAACATCTGGTCAACACTAAGCCAAACGGTGACTAGATGATTTGTATGAGAAAGGTCCTGGATACGTATGAAAGTCACCATATCCTCTATTCGTTTCAATAATATAAGATTACCTACATATAATTGCATTCTTGAGTATATATTCGTGAACGATCTTACTCCTATTAATCCGTTTAACCAATTCTGTTTTCTCCTTTGACGCACTGGTTCGTTGATGCACTACGCCTTCCAAGCTGATGTATCTGTACCATCGTCGTCACTCGCCAAGATTTTCCATCAAATTGTGACTGGCTTATTGACTGCTAATCATTTCAAAACCCTTATGGGAACCTTTGATCAAAAGACGAACAATTAACTATATTATGCGATCACGTTGGACATGTTGATAAGACCACCCAATTGGTCTTTGCCTCGCACTGCTGAGGAATAAAACGTTTATTTATTTATTTATTTAAATAACGCTCACCTCCATCGGTGGGTTTCATTGAACCACCTGTGGTAGTCTTGATTGGCGTTGTACCCATCCCGTTGGTTGTGGTGACCTCCGTTATAACTAGATACAGAGAAATTGAGAGCATTGCGGAAGTAGTGGTTTTGAAAACAACAATTGTCTCCATTAAACTTGGGTTTTAGTCTCCTTATATTCATTGTAATTATGGCGAACTTTAACGGTTGCTTGCCATCTTGTTTCGGAATGAACATTTATAAATTCTTTTCCATGCTGATTGTTGCCTTCATAAAAATTTGCTTTTTGGAGCTTAAATTAATGCCTTTTATAATTTCTGCTTACGTGATACCTTTTATTTGCTTACGTAAAACTATCTGTATCTTTTCTCATTACATTATCTATGTTACAAAATGGATGTTGTTCTCTTTTTTTAGATTATGACGTACTTTTCTCAAAAATGCTTATGATACGTTAGTGTGCATAATAAAATATATGCGAATTCGTTTCTAATTTCTGTATGATAGATCACTTAAGTTATGTTGTTGAAGTGCTTTTTTTGTGAAGATTATTAACATTTCCCAAACAGCACTAATATGGGAAAATAAATTATGCTTAATAAAGCGACCAAACAAAACGGCGACTTTCTTGCAGCTTACATTAATGGACAACCTCGCTTTAGCTACTTTAGGAAACCACTTTTTCCAAGTGCTTGTTTTAATTGGTTGATGATGATACGTATTATTTAAAACCAACCTGGGATTTATTTGTGTTTGCAAACACCACGTAGATGCGTATTCTTTCTTAGTGAAGTTTAAGTGTTTCATTGATTGAATTTGTGGTGAAAGTTGCGCTAAATGCTGGGTAATCGCACAAGGGTCATCATGCTTCCCCTGTTTCCTTGATTCTAACGTCCTGTTATACCAGTATTTCCTTTCGACTATTTTAAGACCTTTACTATATATTTCTTCTATTTATCGATACTGTCTTATTTTTTCGTTACACATTTTTGTTTTTGTAACCTTTGTGAGGTTATTGTTAATTATTGCCATTCATCTTGGTGTTATATATTCCTCGAAATTTTCAGGGTATATGCTACTCTTATCGCTGTAGTATATATTTTCTGTCCTTGGAACCTTTTTAATTTTGATTTATTTAAATGCAGCCATGTTGTTGACAAGCCAACCGTCATTTATTTCCGTTTCGCGACTGCGTGAAACACCTACTGCTGGATGTATTTCCGCCCACGTCTCAGGCACTGCCATAGGACGCTGTAGTTTACGCTGTGCACTATTAGCCGAAACTAGCTCTCGTCATAGGAATTTGATATATACGATTTCAAACTGGATGTTTGAAATCTTTCAGTATAAGAAGTACTAAGGACTGGTAGCATTAGTACGAACAAAGAATGTTTATCACCATCCAATCTTATTCCTCAGGCGTTGACTAGACTGGAAAAGCATCAGCCGCCGTTGCTTTGACATTCTGGGTCTCGTCTGTGGTGCGCCTTCCAGCGGACCTTTTCCTGATCCCAAACCCTTCGAAATCCGAATGCCAACAGCTAGTGACATTTTGTCATGGGCGACGGCCGCCAATCTAAATAATTGACGGTGGACTGTTATATAGCCCTGCTCGTCTTCAACTACCGTACAATTATCGAAATGTGCGGAAGGCAACGGTTAGCCCCAAGCGCCCGTTCTTTGCTGGTCATGCAGTTGAATGTAAGCCCGTCTATATCATGGTCAACTGTCAATCATTCAAGTCTGCGGCTGTCTCCCATTGCGATGTTACACGGGCAGCTGGTATCAGGAAGTCAAGCGGGGGGAAACCAGCTGTTGTCCGCTCGAAGTTGCACCAACTTTGAGACCAAATAGGTCGAAAGACCGTAATCTGATGCAGTTCCAGACTAGCCATAGCCGGCTGACGATGAATGGACCGTGATGAACTACAACCGAATTAATTCCTATAAATCTGACATAGATAAATTAATGGATGTTGGTGATATGTCAGAGCACTGTCAACGGCCCGAGTTATCTGCACCTGTCCTTCAACATTGGCGTAGGCATATAACCCCCGCGTTGAATATTTACACTTTATGGATGGACAAATTACATAGTTGAATGACCGAGTTATCAGATATAGTCATTTGTGGAGTTTCAAAAGGTAAAACGTTAGCTAAAGTAGGGTGGCTTGCTCCTACTGTTTCATCGGAATCATGCAATATTATCATCAGCCTGGGTGAAGTAACTTGATTTGCTGAAAATAGCCCAGGCACTTTAGTGGATGTTTGTTCGTGCCTGTAGTAACGCGTCGTATGATTAGGGATTAGGCATAATCAGCACATGAAATGTATTTTTATGACTCAAAATGTTAGAACTTGTACAAACGCAATCTAAGTTAACTACTGTCATGAGAACGAATACGTGAAACGCGTTTATTTTAAAGCTTTGTCTGAAACATCAAACCAATTCATCGCTACTCTCTATGGATTCACCTCAGTAGCTTCACTTCTATTACGTAAGCACCTGCGTAACTAAAGCACCGGTATTAACACTTATCATAGCAATTTGCCAGCTGAAATACACCATTCTCATTTGAGGTCACCTGTACGAGTTTAGCTGTGTTGTCTTCAGGCACTTAAGCGCTCGTATTTGATTTCCTTCTTCTCAAGCCCCCGATAATTCGTTTGAATCTAACCCATTATTGCTTGAGAACTTGATTCGCTCAAAGATTATTTTCTCATACCTTGCTTACTGTTGCTCGCAAGGAGTCTCTGCACCAACTTCGCTATAAATTGAGATTGGCGTATTGACTAAACTACCATATTCCTCTGTTGAAACAAATTCTGATCTACGGCACTCTTTCTCCATCAACGTTGTATCCTTGGATTAACTCTTTTGATGTAAGAATTATCATATTTCTCTAGAATGTCACCGGTAATGTCCAAGGCAGGAACAGGAAGCATGTTTTGTGTGTTGCCTAGGTGTAGTTCATACCTCACTTACCTGCTGCCCTCTCCTAGCAATTAAGTGTTTTGTGCTGTGTTAATGATTATTGCCTGGCATAAAAACAAAGTATTTGGTTAAAATTGCGATGTGCTTTCTGCAACACAGCAGAGGTGAAACGGAATAAGCACGTAACTTGGTAGCTCAGTTTCTTTTAATGAATGTCGAACTGCCCACTGAGCTTAGCAGCTTGTTGCAAACGTTCCCCTATCAATCGAGATGGCTTCCTCAGTACGTTGTGTAGCGTGTAACCAGTAGCGTAGCTTCGGGAAGCCCTGATGAGAGTGCGCGTGAGCTTCTATATATTCTCATGTTTGGTCGGGGAGATCAACAACCTATTTGGCTGGGGCATCTGATCGTACTAAGCATGTTGCACACATAGTTGAATTTGACTTTGAACTCTCCAACGTGTGCGGTAAATTGCGCTCTAATTACTGCATCAAAGCTTCGGTAATAAGTCCAGCTATTGAGTATTCCATTGACCTTCGTTTCAGGTGATGGCATACCTGTCCACCAAAGCGGAAACAATTTGTAATGCAGAGGTCTAAAACTTCCCACAAATGTCCGGGTTGTATGATTATTGTTGTGCTCAGCTGATTCTGAAATAGCACTATGATGGTCTCATTAGCAATTTCGTGACTGAGAAAAATGTAGAGTGCGGTGACGTCAAATGAGAGCATAAGTTAAAAAGAATCAAGGGCAACACTGTTCGTCAGCAAAGCAACTATACCTATTTCGTTTACTTGAATCAAGTTTAGAAATCAGTTCATAATTACCAATTCATTTCGGCTGCTTATCCGATGTACTAGTCTTGTTTCACTGGAATGCCGATTTCTGTTCAATGTGTAGCCGGTTTCCAAACTTTTGTGGTATAAGTTAAACAATTTAGATTCTTGCGAATCAGATCCTTTTACTTCAAAAATGGATGAGGCCATCATAGTCAACACTGTTCCAAAGCATGGGAGATTAGGAATTATTATGCCGACACAACATATGGACTCATGTTACAAAGAGCCTGTCCTCGCTCTATCTGCTTTCCACAAATGCTAAATTCGCCTGAGATGCTGGAGACCGTGTATGTGAGACTACATTGCACCGCATCCCACCATACCAATGAAAATCTACCTTGTTCCAGATTTGTGTAATCTTCCATCCATGTTAAACCACTTCCGATTCCAAGTCCACAGTATCTTGCCGAACACGCGGGAGTTCTCGCCGCTCGATTCAGGAATTTACGTTCAACGGTATAACATTCAAACGCGTTGACATAATATCCCAGCGTTTCCTTCTTAAGCCAGGCTGTTTTTTTCAACTTTTGGATGTTAATTTGATCAGTTCACAAGCAGCTCCCGTTAATACTATACCAACTATACTTATCTATATTTGATTTCCTAAGTAGACATTTTTACTCAGCGCAGATCATACTCTAAAGCTCATTTTGTTCTTTGCGAGTTCCGTTGACGTTCTCACTTCGCGAACATCTGGAGACTCCAAAGCCAAAGTCGTTGGTCTTGCAGAATAGGAATTGCGTTGACGGCACGTGATGAGGCGTGGCTTCTTTACTTGATCTTTGTTGATGGCCAATTCGGTGCTATTCAATTAGGTACTCGACTACCGTCCTCGTGTCGCAGAGCCGACAGACGTTTTATCTATTGCAGGATTTGGTGATATCCCAAATTCTAGGCTTCAAACATTAAAGGATGAGTTATCTGTCAAAGCTACCATATTTTCTAACTGAAGCGCCCACGGTCTTCCTAGTACCTTACGGAAATATCGCACAATTTGGCAGGCTTACATGCGAGGAATGTGAACTCGGACATTAACATGGCAATGGTATTTGCTAGACAAGCAATGGCATTGCCCACTTTAGCATCACACAGCAATTCTGCCACTATTGTGCCACCTTTAGACCCCCTTCACCTAATCAACCATTAAAGCAATATGACAACATCGCTTTTAGCCACCAATGGGCGAGATATATAAAGAATGGCTAAAATATCTATAGTGTAGAACTTTCCTCGGATCAAGAGCTCCATGTCCTAAGGCATCCGGATATCCTTGTAGCACACAGCATTCCTTACGAATTAGCATCGGTGTGACTAAGCGTTCCGCCTCCAGTGCTCGGAACGACATCCAAGAAGCCTTTTCCTCCGGCCTTAAAAGTACT